AAACTTCGACATTTGGGCTTATCAATGTTGACATCGCTGTTTGTTGTTGTATCCTTTATGGCATTTGTTTTATTTATTCGCTCTGCTGACTATAATCACCTACAGTTCTACATTTATTCTAGTGGCTTATAAATCTCCGCGGAATCTTTTGGTTGATTCTGCACTTAATATGAACTCTCAATATTTCAGCTAAGTTCTGGGGTTCGAAGAATGTACATATGCATTAAAATGGAAATTTTTTCTATAAAAAAAAAAAAATATAAAATAAAAATTCTTTTAAGCCCAAAAACTTCAAATGTGAATACCCAAACCTTGAAAAGTCTGTGTCAGAAAAAGTGCAAGGACAATAATTATAGCGGAATTAAAAATATTTTAATCCTAATTCACATACATCACATTCTTTTATACCCATAGATATGTATGTAAATATTTAGTTTATTTTGGTTTGGTGACCACAGCAAAAGCTTATGCTTTTCTCATTCTATCTTAGCTCCGTTACATTTGTTATTTTTGCTAAACCGTTGTAATCCACGTTGTTCGGATTCATTTTAATTGGTTTTCCGAAATGTTCCACCCTTTTTGATTATGTACATGGAAACAATTTATTACATACAGGTGTTAGAGGATTAACAAAAGTACATGTACTAAGGCTTGAAAGGACTGAGATTAGGAAGGTAAAATATGTTTGCTCGAAAACTGAAATATCAACTATTAAAAAGTGAAATAGTTACCTAGATGAAATAAAAAATTAAAATTTTCAAATGTCTCTTCAACTAATTTTAAACCATTTTTATTTTGTTTTATTTTATTTCATTTTGCTTAATTTTATAATTTATTTATTTAATTTTATTCAAAATAAAATTACTCAAATATCTCTGCAAATAATTTTAATTTTTTTTTATTTTATTTTGATTCATTTTACTTCACTTTAATTTATTTTAATTAATTTAGGTTTATTATTTTAATTTGTTTTATTTAATCTTATTCCGTTTTATTTAATATATTTATTATTTTTTCTAGTTGTTTTATTGTTATATTTCATTTGCTTTATTTTATTTTTTTATTTTATTTTATCTAATTAAATTAAATTTAATTCAAATTTATTTTTTTTAATTTTATTTCATTGAATTTATTTTAATTTAATTTCATTTAATTTAATCTGATTTTATTTTATCTTGTTTTATTTTCTTTTTTTTTATTTTATTATATTTTACTTTATTTTATTTTACTTTATTTTATTTTATTTTATTTTATTTTATTTTATTTGAATGTATTTTATTTTATTTTATTTATTTATTTTTTTTCATTTCATTTTATTTTTATTTTAATTTATTTTATTTCATTATTTGATTTTTTTTATATTTGCTTGTTTATTAATTCCCTTTTAATTAATAATTATTTCGTTTGCTAATTTTTATGAAATCTTTAATGGTTTTTTCTTGTTAAAGGCTATATATGCTTGTTAGCATTGTTATTTATCTGCTTTCGGATTATTAATAGAGGCAAATGTCAAAACACAATTGGCGTCTAAGGAAAAAGTTAAAAAAATTTGTCTTTACGAAACTACAAGCAGCAAGTGACAGTGATGTGGGTCACTTCTACAAATTTAAGAAAGATCGGCAAAGAGCCAATAACAGGTAGATATGACACACAAATGCAGATAATGAGTACGATTTTTACGTTTAGAAGAGATTATTATCCCGTCTCAGTGTACATACAGTTAATCGGAAGATCGAAGTGTTTGTGGAAATCGTTTCAAAGTGAGAGAAAAAAGATGTAGAAAGAAATTATATCATATTTATATTTGAAGATACTCTCATTGTGTTATAGTTTAAAACAAAAACTTTTTAATTCCTGAAGTGTTTTGTTGACGATGTAAGTTTCATAAATTTTACACCATCTACAAACATATACCATAAGCATAAAATTCGATACGCCACTTAAGTAATTTTTAATATTTCTCACTTAAGCACCAACGAAGAAAGGGCAAAATTTTAGTTTTATGTATTTTTCCATGAATTTATGATTAGTAATATTTTTATGGCGACAGCTATAAAATGTCGGGGCGGAAAAGCTAGAGTAAGAGTCCAGTTATGGCATTATGTATGTGTGAAAGTATTTTGGAGATATCATAAAAACTTGCGGTAACGAAGCTGACTCCGCAAAGAATGCTTGAACAAAGGGATTATTGGCTGTGACAGTAAAGAGCTCGTACCACGCGTTAACTTTTTAAAAATTATAAATCAATGCAAGAAAAATAAACATAAAAAATTTTGTAGAGGAAATAATCTTAAGTGGAAAGTAAAGAAAGTAGTTAAAATTAATACACCACAGGGAAATAAAAAAGTAACAAAAAATTAACCGCATAATGAATGCAGGCATATATAATTATATGAGAAATATTTAGCTCCGAGTCATTGCAACAGCCAACCAATCGAGCCTCAATCAATACCCCCACTGTTATATTACGTTTGGCTTTTCTATTGTTTTATTACGATTTTTACGATTTCAGTAGATTTCAAGATTACGATATTGCGATAGTGCGTTGTGGCATGCAAAAGATGCAGCTAAATAGCTTTACTCGTATTTTATTACGTTATTTATTATTATTATTTGTTATTGTTATTCTGATCGCTATTTTCGGGAAGTGTGAATATGACATTTTTATGAAAGTGAAAATAAATACCTAAAATACTAAAAGCAAAGTTCAAAGCCTCTTAAATTAATATTTTTGATATTTCTTTTACAACTTCAATTAATTCTATTGCTCTATCCAATTTTCATACTGGTTTTATACGCACTTCCATATGAGCTAAGGCAATAAAAATACTGATATCAAGACTCTAAGATCTTTCAATAAAATCGTGGTATAAAATTTGATTCCTTAACCTTTGAATTGGTAATAGAAAAAATAAGCCATACAAATCTGATAAATATTTTTGAATTTTCTTATTTTTGAAATTATTCATGCAAGTGTGAAAGCCTTTTCAAGTGAACATATGTAAATATATACATATGTATCTGCTCGAAATCATTTATTCAATAAAAAATTATCATAAATTTTATTCGAATAAAAGCCAATGTGCTTACTATTTCAAAGCTTACCAAATTCTTGACAAATTCGGGGCGCAGGAATAAGCTTTCGTTATCCTAAACAAAACAATGTTGCATTTTTCCTTATATAGATTAAGAAAAATCGGGACCTTTTTTAAATTTTTAATTAATTTTGTTGGTTGTACAAATATCTAATTTCATTTGTGTTCTAAAAAGTGTGTAATTGAAGAAAACACTAAAAAAAAAAAGATTTTCTCGCAAATGTAATGACATCTTCGTGGGGGCGTAAAATATTGTCGTTATCAGAAACAGGCGATGGAGCACGCTAAATATTGTGGATAGACGTAAAAGCTTTCCAATAAAATAGGTATAATCTTGGGAGCTTTACAAAAATAATTTTCAAAATAATTTAAACAAATCCTCTACTTTTTGAGACACTTGTAAATTGTAAGAACGTACTAAGAATTTTGTAATTGGTATAAGCTAAGTAATTTTGAGCTCAGTGGCAGCGTTTAAAATAGTGATATTATTTGTTGTAGAGCTAACCGAAACTTAACCTAGATTATTAGTGTGGTGGAGTAATTTAAGAAAAGAGTTCTATTGTTCATAGCGTCTAGCATATGCCACATTTATCTTAACAACCACCTTACATGTGATTTAATTACGCCATTCTCTGTTGAAATACGGTTTGTTAAATATATATGCATAGGGCTCGCAAGGTCGTTTGATGCGCCGGTATACAAATACCCGTATTTCTACACTTCATTGCCACTTTTGACTTTGTAAAGCAGTTTGGCTTTCCGAAAACATACAATAGTAGTAAATTAGTTAGTTAGTAAATTCTGGTTGAAAGAGGCTACAGTAATCCGGGAGCCTCTTGCTTGTGTTTCGTGAGAGTAACAGAGAGTTTTAGCTGAGCAATTTCAAATAGATCAGAGAGAATCTGGCGCTTCCTCTTCTACACTGTGAGGGGTCTATCATTCTTGACAGCACACCCGGTGTTCCTAAGTTTACAGTGACAGTGGGAAGAAAACTATTTCTTGTGTGGTGCCAAATATGGGCTAATTTGTGGCAGACGTGCTGCTTTTTCAGCATAGATTATCCTATGCCTCAAAGTAGTCTCCACGATTTCCACAAAGGGTCGCTTCAGGTCTAGCACTAAGAGACTTGTGAGTTGTATTCGACGATAATTTATGCCATATATGAGCTTTTCAAGTTTTTTTGAAAATATGAATTGAGTATGTATTTACATGCTATTTATATGATTATCATTTTGCTGGGTCCACATATTTGAAATGTATGCCTGCAGACAGACTATAAAAATCCTGTAGAGCAGTGGCTATAGAAGGTTTTTAGCTGCTTATAATTCAGCGGGAAAAAGGCCAACTAGTCCTGGAGAGTAACCGAGTTGTAAGGATTTCTCGACCTACACTCCCTTCGTTTTCCACGGATATTGTTGCCGATGTCTGATGTTTAATGATTTTGTATTCAAGCTGCTTTATTTACAATAGCAACTATTAAAAAATGCAAAAGCAAAGAAAATAAAAATATAAATTTTTGATACAAGTACTAAGTAAACTGAAGGCCTCATTTGTTTGTATGAATTAAATATTTTGTTATACAACATAGAAAAATGGTAGGAGTAACAGCTGTTCAGTAGACCACCACATCTCCCCATCAGCCTTCTTATGGCAGGGATCGAACCAACGAATCCTGAATTAACATCAGCCATATAATCTTTTAATATAAAAAAATAAATGTTTATTAATATACGTATTTTCACAAATAATTTGAGCTGCCTTGACCACTGTGACTTATAAGACAATCTTTTCGCTATTGTTAATTTGTATTTAATATTTTACTGTTTTTTTTTTCAAATATACTGAAGTTTTGTATCTCATAAAGTGCTTATGACTCCTTCACAAAAAGTCTTTTTTCGCTTACAGTTCTCATGAAATCGGATAACAGTGTCGAGATTACTTCGTAGTGTATCCAATCTAAAAATGCAATCAATGTCCGACATCCCGCAAACAATATTTTTTGCTAACATTACTTTATATACGGTAATTTCAATTTGTGTTTATCGATGTATTAGTGTGGTTTGGTGATGATTACAGTCGCGCGCAACAACTAAGAAGGCCATTCATTGACTAGCAACTCAGCCGTCAATTTTGACATCTCTACACAACATCTTAGTTGTTCGGCGTGGCTGATTTAATTCAAATTTTGGTATTCTCTTAATTTTTTTGGTATTTTCCATCTCTTTTTTCTTAGCTTAAATGGCCTTAACTGCAATGTTTTGACGGCGAGGCGAATAAAAAAAACCGTTGAAGGTCGTACACACTGTGAGAAAAAAATACTTTGTGTGGTAGGAAGAAAAATTGTATACTATAAACTAACCTACGAAAAATAAAATTGTATAAAATATAATATCATATTAGATTTGTTTATTGAGACTGAAAATAGAGTAGAAGAACTCAAGTTCGAGGAGAACAGTGCGTTGCAAAAAAAAGACAATAGAGCAAGTTAGAGCAACTCGGACCAAAAAGCTCATGAAACATTTTTCGGAGAAAAAATTTCGGATGCAAATGTTTGACATTTCTATGGAAATTTTTTTTTAAAGATTTTTTTATTTATTTGTTAAAAAAAAGGATACTTTTTATTGTCACTTTCAACTTAGTTGTTTGCTGGCACCCGGGAAGATTCCTTTCTTATATTCTGCCCTCTTTCGTTTTCTAATCCAGACTATCTCCAAAAAATTGTTGCTTGCTCCAAGTTACTCTGCTAAAAAAGGCAGAGCAGAAAATTGTGCTCTGAGCTGCTCTGTTTCTACTTAGTACAGAAACAAAAAGTAGAGCAAATAAGAGCAACGAAGCTTTCATCAAGCACATTTTTTTGAAATAGAGTAGCCTGGCGTAAGCTAGAGCAGCTCAACGAAATCTATTATAAAAAAATACGTTATTATTTTTGACACTTTTTTCTCAAAGTTTGAAATGAATTAGTAAAAAATTTGAAGACTGGAAAAAATGTATTTTAAGTAGCCATACGGGGCAAGAGGCGAGATATTCAAACAACTCAGATTTGTGATCTCTAGTTGCCATGAGGCGTTATGGCTGTTAATACAGTTACGTAAAATTGGTCGCTAGGCGACGCTCGAATCAAACTAATATAAATTCTGAATTTTTCTTATCAATTTTATTGAATTTTTTAAATTTCATTTCAGAAACTTTTCAAGATTATAAGTAGGTAAATTTCCAGCTTTAGTTTTGGTATTATTGAGCTTTTCTTAAATCAGCCAAACAATATTTAAATTTTTCAGTAAATGTTTTTCAGGACATTATTATTTATGGTGTAGCCGAAAACTATCTAAAAACTAGAACTTTACCACCAGACACATTTTAAAAGAACTAACATACCTGTACTCGCAAGATGCACCTAAATTGATACCCAGCAATTGAGTGCAGGTTGCCTGATATTCACGAAAGCACTGACAACTTAATTGCGACCAGCTGAAGTAGGTGCAGCAGCATCGCACCAGGACGAGCTGAAATTTAGTCTGAGTATTTTGAAGCATAAACACAGTAATCACCACCAAAGTGCAAGCTAAATGTTGGAGCTTACCTCGGCGATCAGAAGAGTATAGTCTCAACGCAGAGGGTATGCGCTTTGAAGACGCTGCTGACAGCTCATAAGCAGAGCTTTAAGTCAATTGCAATCAACGCCAAACAATTACTGCTTTTAGAGCATTTTTTCGGATTTTTTTTTTTTTTTTGTTGATCAAAATTGAAACATTGAACTGCGTTACACAGCCTGCCAGGCAGCCAGCCAGCCACTGGGTGCTGTTGCACTTCAATGATGAAAGCGTTTAACTGCCACACATAATGCAAACGTGTCAAGTTTAATTTCAATTTCATTTGGGGAACTTTTGGTAAGAAAATGAAGTCATTTCTTCAATTTGCAACTTCATTTTGTCTTTAATGAAATTTTTCAGCACAATTTTTTTTTTTTAATTTTTGACTTGGCTTTACTTAAATTTTTTTTAAATGATTTTGTTTTTATTTATGTATTTTTTTTTTTTTTGTTGCAAAGCGTTTCTGTTGTTAAATCATTAAAACGTGATGAGACTAATGAGCTCGTACAACCGCCAAAATGTTAGCCATTGTTCGTTGTTGTATTGCGGATGTTATCCTCCATTTGCGGTGAGTTTGGTTTGAGTTGAATTGATTTTTTTTTTTTTTGGTTGCTGGCGCCGTCCATTCCATGCGTTCCATGTTTTGCTTGATTGTTCCACGAACGAAGAACATGCCATGTGTCAAAAGCGCTTTTTGGTGTGGCATGTCCCTATTTAGCATGTCTCAGCAGGCAGTCGCTCGCACTGTTGGCAGTTCATCAACGAGCAAGCGACGGCAGTGGCGGCGGCAGTTTGATCAAATTGTACATGCGCGCTATGAACATTGCGGAGGCGAATTCACCTGATGCGAAAACAGAACCGAAGCTTAATTCGTTTTAAATTTTTTGCGCAAGTTCGGCTTTGTAAGATAGAATAGCAAAGATCCTCTCCTCACCGTGTCTTTTGCCGAGGTGTCTTTGACAGAGGTAATGTTCTCAGAAGCACGCAAGTTTGCCTCAATCAAAATCTTTTCCACAATTCAGTGCTTGGAACACATTCAAAAGGAGACCTGCGGCATTACGATGTGTACTGATCTAACCACAGTGAAGACGTCAGCACGAAAATAAGTTTCCCCGAACCAATGTCTACATGACTCTAAGACAAGACGAAACGAATGACAACAATTTGAATTCAACACGGAGTTCTCAATATGAAACTAGTCCCAGCTGCAAGTGGCTGATCCATCTATGAGGAGAGATCCAGCGCGAAAAGTTGAAACACATAGAAGTTTTGCTTGCCTGAACCGATTAGAAATCCATCTTCCGTTTCTTGGAAACCATAGAAAGAAACCAGCTTTCGGCCTACTCATCAGGCAAGTACCGACTACTAGCTCATATCATTTTGCTATGATGAGCCCGGGATGCTTATCTCTTTCAAAAGTTCTTCTGACAAAGGTAACACGGTCTTGAGTGAGTTCGCTGAAACTTCCGCATCCCATTTGTTCGTTAAAGCCAATGACGGAGGAATTGAATTTTTGAAATTAACTTTTCAAGAGACAAAACCTACCGAAATCGCAGATCCGTTACAGCTCTGGTACAGCTTGTGGCTTTGCGCCAACCAAAACTTGCGGGGGTGAGGAGGCTTTTGAATTGCTAACTTCATTAAAACAATTAAATTGTACAAACCTTTGCTTTTACATTTTGTACTTTCGATATTGATTTGTGTTTTCGTTGTTTATTACTCGTTCTTTTTTCATCTCTCCCTATTTTAATTTCTCAGTCTTTGTTTGCTTGGAAACTTTTATTTGAATAGCGAGTGTAGTGTACATGCAGTGACCTCGACGTGCCACCTATCGTTCCATCTTCGTTTTTTTTTCGGCCAACTGTCTGTCTGAATCTCCGTTTTTTCTTTTTGTAAATCTGTCTGCTTGTATGTATATATATGTGTGTGTGTATGTATCTGTGATGCTCCATCTCTGTCTCGTTACTCACTTGAGACTGTGCCGCGCGTGGGATTCTTCCAATTGTCTTTTACCGTAATTCACAATTCACTCTACAACAACAATTTACTACCTTCACCCGCGCATGCACAAACAATAAAATATACGTACATACAAACATCTATACATATTTGCGCTGAGCTAAGCTTGAAGCGCATAGCTTATGCTCTAGAGCTTGTTTTGTTCGTTTCACTTCATTTCAATTTGAGTTGGACATTTGTATACAACGCTTTTGTTGGCCTCCTCAAACAACAGTCAATCTCAATGAACACAACAACAACAAAAAAACTCTCAAATCGTTTGGAAAAAATATGTGATTAATTGGTTGATGTCTTGCACTTTTGCTTAATTTTGATTTGAACGTTTTTTCAACTACCAACTACCCCTCCTCTACCCCTGAGCTGAGAGCACACCCTTTCAAAATGTGAAGTCTCTTTACGTTTTGGTAAAAATTAATTTTATTTACGCTTTGCTTTATGGCCACCAGTCTCTTTGTTGCAGTTGTTGTTGTTGTTGTTGTTTTGCGCATCCAATAGTGCGTCTTTGAAAAATGGGCGTTTTTAATTTTCAAAGTATTTAACAAGTTTACAATTTTTATTTACTTTTATTTTCGCAGCAACGCACCAAACACCTTCACTTCAGTGCCCACACACACACACACACACACACACACACACACACACGCATACACTTGAATATACAACCGCTTGTCGTACGTACCTTCGTCAGTTGGCAACCAGCTGCCCATTTGTTGCTTCCACTCACTCACTGCTCAGTGACCGGCCGCTGGCTGTCTGTCATAATAAACTTCCCACTGCCGCGTGTTTGACTTTTCTGACAGCGTTTCTCTTTAATATGTGTCGAATATTTAAACATTTACTGTCACTTAGCGGTTAATATATTTCTTGCGGTACTCCCCGGCCGAGCTCTCATGCCCATTTTGAATACCAACTTTTTGCAAACATTTTTGCTAATATTTCTGCATGTTGCTTGTGAATGGAGTGGGTGCTCTGCTTTGTGGCACCTCACTGGAAAGGAAATAAACGAATTTTGTGGTCGAAAGGTGGCTGAATAATTGGATGTAATTAACCTCTTGAGGTCTTTTTAAAAAATGAGTTGCCTCAAGATTCAAAATAATGTTTTCTAATCCGGATCACTCCTCGACGGAAAATATCATTGAAACAATAAAATACTGCTTCTTTGGCTTAGAAAGAAACTGTGGAAGCAGAAGTCTCAAAATCATTCAAATAAAACACATTTTCTGTATAGTTCTAAGGAATTGGGCACAAGTTTGGGAGCCGACTCTATTTTCATTGCTTTTGTAGCTACCTCAGTTTAGCTCTTTAAGCAGTCTTTGAAAGCGAGCCACCGAAAACCCAACTACCATTGTAACTTAACCAGATTAGAGTTCCGCAACCGCTATTCATAGTTGAAGATAGGTAGTTGCAGCATTACCCTGAGAACTTGAAACGAGTAACTTGCAGTGGTTTTTCGAATATCTTTGCTCTCAAAGCCATCTTGGACATAACTTGTGGAACTGAAGAACATAGCAACTCGGCTGACCGAACTTATCTTTGAATGCGACATATAAATGAGATGATAAAACGCAAAAAGGATATCTGTAGTTCTCTTACGAGTGCATTCGGAGGGTACAAAAGGGAGGTGTTTTAGATTGCTGGTTTAGTATTTCTCTGTACTCCGGACTCT